GTTCAGCTGCTTTGGGCCCCAGCTGATTGACTAAGGGCATCTATCTCATGTTTTGAACTGAGAGATTTTCTTGTTATGTTGTTTTCCTCTTTTATGTACTTTTTTTTTTTTACTGAACACTCCAAAAGACAAAAAAATTCTCCCAAAATTTTAATTCATATAGGTTTTACATTTTTCTCTATTTATTTTTGTCCTCATTTACTGTATGCATCCTTGTTGTTTGTTTCTAAAATGCCCAAAAAGAAATTTAGAAAGAATAAACTGAACACTGCCAAAGACATAAGTATTCTCCCAAAATATTATATCCAATAGGTTTTACATTGTCCTTGATTTATTTTTGTTTTTCATTCACTGTATGTTTATTTTTTGTTTCTTAAAATGTCAAAAAAGAGATTTAGAAAGAATAAATTGCTTACTTGCAGTAATGCTTCCAGTTACATTGATACATTGGTCCTCTTCACCAAGGCAGACGACACGTTCATTTCCTTCAGAAAGGCCTCCATTTTGTACATAAAAGCCTGGGCAGAGGAACCCATTGGGTTTAAGTTCGTCACGTCCTGGCACTGCAGAAAGGAAGCCTCAGAGTCAGCAAATGGTTTCACGGCCACCACCCTTTCTAAGTATGGATATCCCTACTCAGTGCCCTCTAGACATTTTGAGATGACAATTCTTGTAATTGTGTCAGGCAAAGATTTGTTCTCCCAACAATTGGAAATCACCTTGTGTCCATATAGGAGTAGGGTGTGTAATTTGGGATTCACCATTCCTTAATGAAGCTCAAGGAAATGGTGGGGTCTTTAGAATTCATGTAAAATATGTTTTTAACTCTTTGGTAGCTGACCCCCCCCCCCAGCTCTTTGACCTCTGTCAGAAGAAACCAGCTGCTCCATTGATGCAGAAGGGCGGGGGGTTCTCTAAACTTTTTTTTTTTTTTAGCTACAATGTCTTTCTAAGGGTTTTCATGGCCCCTTGCTTCCTCCACCACCAAACTTACAGTGCACTCAAAGCAATAAGAACTTAAGTCTTTGAAGACTCAGAGTTTGCTGGTGTTTTGAATGGAGACTTTAACGGCAAGTTACTTACAAGGAAGAGGTGCTGTATTACAGCCATCGCTTTCACAACATGCTATTTTCTTCTGGTGATATCTGCCAGCTACTGATGTGATTTGATAATAAC